GTCCGGGATTGACTCCCGGGTGCTCGCGTGGTAAGCACTTCACTTACCACCACACCACCCCCGCCTCAAGGTAGTGGTAGTATCACAACAGAAATATAGCAGGAAATAAGCAGGAATGCCAGCAAGATGCACAAGGTCTTCAAATACAACAGGGAATTTTTAACATTTTTGATATATCAGGAGAAAAAAATTCCATATTCTCATACAGCTGTCAAACTTTTATTAAAACTACTAGTTTAATCTCAACTGATTAGGCAACGGTATTGAAAAATTCTGAAGCTGTCAAAAAGATGTCAGAACCCTTAAATTTCCAGGGATCTTCAGGATTATTTCGACAAGAGCCGTCCAACGTGCAGGGGGAAAATGTAAAAAGGGGGCATTCAACCGTCACAATACGGAAGTACATAAAGTTACAGGATTTGAGAGTAACATCCTAATTCATGCACAGAAAATCCAGCAATACTTACCTTGTTGAATGGAGTTGTGGCAAATCAGCCGTCCTCTTAGGTTGATTCAGCTTTTCGTGCCCATTCTGTTTCACAACTGGCGGCGAATTGACACTGAAATGACGCGTAGGATGTTCATAAATGAGCTGATAACGAACTAGTACACAACGATTTGACTTTGAACAGAAAGCAGTTGATTCGGTTCTGATTAGCCGACAAAGTAGCCTTCGCCATGGAAAACGTCATTCATTAAACGAACAACCAATTTAAACAAATTCTTTATAATGAAGAGTCTGAGAGAGGAAGAGAGCGGCAGCTGGTAATAAGACAAGTGGTAAAGATGCGAAGGATGAAAAAGATATCCGGTAATAACTTACACATGAAAGTGCTTGTAACGATTCACTCCCCGTACATCCGGTACATATCGAGCTCTGATGATGGAATTCTCGCTCTGTTGGCCTCGTTCGATTGCCAAAACACGCTCGCGAACAGATGTGCTGTCGCTTTTTTGCATGGAAGGAGGCATACAAAATGATCCTGAAAATTCAAGCCATTACATAGACAATTTAATGGCGAACGTTGCCACAAAACAAGGCTTACTTGTTGCGTTAAGCAGTAGTGAGCATCATTAACGTACTAATGACATTGCTCTCGAGTAATAAGGTAGTAAGATGTTGATAAAGCGGAGGAAGTTAAATGTCTATATCTATGTATATATGTATATGCACGAATATGAGTGTATATGTATGCGTGTGTGTCTCCGTGCGTGTATATAGCAGTGGGTGAGGAGAGCCTAAGGACCGCCCATCCCCTCTTTTATCTCATCCTGGATGGATAAGACGAGGGGCGAATTGATTATGATACACACGTAAGAGCTGAGGATGATGTAAACGTAGTGACTAATCCGTATTTTCCTCTTTATCTACTCCTTATTCATCTTGATCCTCACCCACTAAGAAGTATTGGAGCCTACCTACGAAGATAATACGGTTTAAAGTCCGCTAGATTATCTTGGGGATAACCAGATGGATCAAATCACAATATATCCTAAGTGTTATTCACAGTATTAATATCTGCAAAACATGCATTTTACAGGAAAGTGAAAGATTTTGTGGCCCAATCCAGAGACGGGGATGTATTTTGGACTATTGCTGCTTTACTAGTTTCGCTCTATGAGTCTCACTGTGGATGAAAATTGTGAACACTCGCGAAGCTGGACGGAGCTCGTCCAGCCACCATTAAAATGATATAAATGGTAATTCATGGTTCTACAATGGTTGGCAGGTACCCTTTACACGAGTTGACAGGTGGTCTCTACACATACCACGTAGGGTGGAGGAATCCCCAGATAGGAATCGTATCCGGTCGATGGGGTGGGTCGCATTTAGTCTTTTTTGATAGTTGATTTCTTTTTTTCACGGTTTTTGCCCTTGAGAGGGATTTGCGGTGTTGGGAAAAAATGTCCAGGTCTTTTCGCGGTTTCCCCCGTTCCCCATGGGCAGTTTACCCCTCCCGCTTCCCCCCCCCCTCGACAGCAAAATTTCTACGAAACACTAAAAATTTAAGGGGAATTTCCGGAAAAACTGGAAATCGTAGTAGGAAGTTGGGAAATTCAAGAAAAAGGCAGATAGGATGGGGATGGGAGAGCGTCTCATCAGACAAGCGGGTCGCATTTTCTGGAAATTTCCGCCAGCGACAGGACGTGCCCTGCCCCTGTCCCTACAAACTTGGCTGATATCATTTCATAGCGTCTCAAGATTTCACAATGATTCATAATGGTTCGACATGACGATGGGAGTAGCAGGAGTGCGAAATGCCCCCTTTCCCCCACCATCACCGAACGACGCCCGCCTATTTTTCCCCGGAATTACGTCTTAATTAACTGACGCTCCCGAGTGCCCCATGATGTACATGGAACGGTGGATCAACAGTTGCGAAGGGATTTGCAATAATAGAAAGTATCCGATCGCCTTACTAGGTATGTACTAGTTGATGATTGATGCCGAACTTCTTATTTAATATGTGTACTTGGAAACACTTGACGTGAAGTATACGTAGAGACGTACGTAGTATACGTCTTCCCCCCCCCTAATTCCTTTCAATTCCTGTGACTCTGTTAATTTTATTGTTTAAAAAGTCGCTCCGCTCTTGCTGTTCTCATTCAGTACAGAACTCGTCCTCTGCATCGGTTATTTTGTTGTGTCGTGTTAAAAGTAGGTTCCTTATTCGGCTAGGGATATCAAGCGTTGAGTGAAACGAAGAGGGGCCGTATTTCGACCACTGTAGAAGGGAGCTCGTATTTTGCACCAGCAAAAATTATCCTTTCTCACTGCTGATTTTTCTTATTTCACTTGCCGCAAAACTATGCTCCTAACGGTCGAACAGAGCTTGGCGCAGCTCAGCGACGGGGGTGGGGGAAAGGGGAGGCATTCTACACCTTCACTGCTTCCCATCGTCGTGTTCATGCTTTAAAATAGCTTATAGGTATTGGTTACAAAAACAACAAGTAATTCCTACAAACTTTGACTGGTATCACTTCATGGCTTCACAAGATTTCACGCCTGAACTGCGCCCAGAGCTCTATAGTCCACCCTTCTCGATTGCTAATTTTTTTCAGAAAAAGCTTGAGAAGGAAGGTGGGCTGGTAAAGGTATCATACCAAGGCCAGAAGTTCGGGGGGGGGCTTGTATTCAGCCGAATTCTAGAAGGCGATAATGTACCTCGTATAGCCCAGCGACAAAGGGGAACGAGCAAGCTCGAACTCGATACTATTGGATAATTCTGAAATACGCCTGTATACTAAGAATTCCACTGGACAAATGAAAATTAATCATTGCAATTCGCGGTTGAGAATGTTACCTGTACTACAATTATGGTAACATGTCTGTCGTTAATTTTCATGACGCAAAACGGTAGATATTTCATTTCCGAATCGTTTTTCCCTCCCAATTACTACAACATTTAGCTTGCGTCCGACATGCATAATCGATACGTAATCGTCAATGTAAGTTTCTCCAAAAGTTACTGAAGTACACATGATTGCAGTAATTCGTGCATTGTTAAGTGGATTAAGCGGGTTCACGTGGGCAGGACCTCCTTGAGGAATAACGCTATCCTCTTCGCTATTTTTGATGTATACAATTGGATTAACTGATTTTTCTACTGTTATGAAAATAGAAACGTGATGTCATCAGGATTAATGCTGCGCTAATAATAATAGTAATCGCTCTTGTGGTTGCTATTGTGAAGTTAAAAATTTGTACATTTCAGTAAAACACACCTGTTAACATAGGTAAATGCCAGGTTAGCATATCTTTGATTATAGTGCTGTTTTAATGCGCTTGAAGGATATGGAACTATTCTAGATCGGATACGAATAGGTGAAAGCGTTTCGTCGTACCGAAATCGTATTCGGTGACACGGTGCACGCAAGCAAGCTCCACCTCAGGATGGACGTGATCTGTGTTCACGCTGATCTCTCTCTACTCTCTTTGTCGTGTGGTCTCTCGCTTTGAGATCAATATCGTCAGAAGTTGTGGAATTGCGCCACTCTGGGAAATAGAAGTGATAGGGCCTATATGGCTAAAAAAAACCAATTTGCCGAAAGCGTCCCCATCATTCAGAACCTGGCGATTTTCGTCTCTCGCCAGTCTATTGTCTTTATTCCCTTTGCCGTCTGCTACCTCATCTGTACTCCCACTCTCTTTCTCGTGAAGTCCATCCCAAACCGGTAAGAAGGACTTCATTTTGTGACGTATTTCGCGTTCATTTGGTAGAAGTCTGTTCTTCAGTAGTGGAGTGTGCCATCACCACCCACTTGCGCCACGCCCCCGATATGAGCCAGGAATGAAATTTTGATAGAGTCGAAATCGTCTATCATTTTAGGGGTGGGTCTCTGACTTCCGATCTCTATCTGATTAAAAAGTTATCTATCTAACAGAGGCTGTTCTTACTTCCTGCCGGTACGGAAGAATCTGCCAATGCTTCTTAGCGTTTTTTTTCACCTCGTGGCAACATCATAAGTTTAGGAATACGAGCGGGCTACTACACCTCCGAAAATTTCGCATGAAATTAAATGTGTCGGCTCCGTGATTGCACACAATTGGACATATCGCAAGGGGATTTGAAGTGTGCTGTGTGCACTCGCGGCTCCGACGCACTCAGTTTTACGCGCAGCTTGGGATACTGTCTCCCCTCGGTTCCCATAATCTTATCATATAAGTGTCCTTATGAGACACATATCATCGCAATCATAATCGTGATGAATCATTAATAGACAAGTTGAGCGTTTCCCTTTAATTTCTGCTGGGTAGCCTCACAGCCTTGAATTTTGTATGTTTTCAAATTCTTTGAGGTAGCCCGACCTTGTCACTTACTAGGTAATGGACCAGGGACTGTTACGGTAGAAGCAGTGGAGTTAGTTTTACTGTCCTAATAATCATCTCTTTTACACCTACTAGTACCTTTTTTCTGCTAGAGCCAGTGCCATTTTTGAAAGAGCGCTGGAAGTGATGAATCTTCCACACCCACTTGACTTTCCTTCATGGCATTTAGGTCGCATTACACCTTCTCAGCCGTGAGTGTTGCTCAGACATCTGCTATTCTTTTCCCACAACACTTCTGTAACTAATGAGCCACTGTCACTAGAATTCTTTGAAATTACTACTCAGTCATGCGAGTAATTGTATTGTTTGTGGGCTTCTTTGATCAACTACTTCAACATCTCCGACGGCACTCATGCCTACCTCAGGCTATTTAGCCAACTGTCCTGCTTACCTAAACCTGGATGAGCGGACATTATCGTTGTGTCCTAATGGGAGTCCTATTTGGCCTCTAGGATGAGAGTAATACTCACCTGGGGAAGGTTTTCTCGATTGTTTATTTTTCCCGTTTTACCCGTGCTATGTATTACCACCTGTTTTTTTGGAACAATTCCGTGGAAATTTGTTTGAACGGTACTCAAGTTGTAGAGCGCGCCGTTCCGAAGGAAAAAGTAGATGAGGAGGGAGGGGTCAGATTATGATGTGCCAAGGCATGGACCTAAAATTCACTGTTGTGCTTAAGTAAGTTTACTCAGTATGAAGAAGCAGCCAATCGATCCTCCTCTCAAAATGAGCTCATTCATCTTTTTTATCTTTTTCAAGAGCTAGAACCACGCCCATGCACAATTTTTTCATTTTCAAAATGGCTCTGGAGTTGTTTTATCTGTTCTGTTTTTTCAAGGTTTTCCAACACCGTGGTACCTGAACCACTGATCCATCCTTGCCATGTGTGAGCTGAAAAGGTTGGCAGCTGCAGCAGATTGCCACTTTCCCCGCCTAGGAGTGTGTGAACGGGGCTAAGAGGTGGTGTTCCGGGTTAATACTTCACAAGCATGGCCAACCGCACTCCTAACCATAGCCAGACTAGCTGCTCGTCTGTGTCCTCTCACTTCGGTTGTTTTCTACTGCTGTCTGCGTGTTTCGCTGCGGGACCTTGGTATCAGCGGCCTTTCATGCCTCTATCGGTCCAGACGGAGTACCGATA